TGAAATTACAGCCAAATTTTTCAAAGTGAATATTTAGACCCTAAATTTTGTGAATATCTTCGCTATAATTTTCTTCAATTTTCTCCGAAATTTCAGCCAGTTTGGTTCATTCTCTGAATTTCTACGGAATTTCTCGTATTTTCTCTGCATTTCTCTACGTTTTGGTGAATAATAGAGTAACGTGTCGACACGATTGTCGATCGATTTTGAGTCAAAATGTCGTTTTGAAGGACTAAAATTTTGAAGGACTAAAAAAATCGTGTCGACCTTCACCAAGAGCGATATCGTGTCGACAAAAGTCGACAAATGTCGAGCCGAGTCGACACGACATCGGCCTAACTATATGGTGACCTAATTTTCTCAAAATGAATTTTCTAGGACGCGAAACTTTTTATGCCTATAAATCATAGATGCCCGGAATGACTTTATTGAGTGACGGAATCTGGAATAAAATAATTTTCTCGGAATCCGGAATACGGACAAATTAAAATTTTACGGTATACGGAATCCGGAATGACAATAATTTTCCGGAATAAGAAAAAAAAAGAAAAAAATCACGGAATCCGGAGTCCGGAATAAAAGTAATATTCCGGAGTCCGGAATACGGAATCCGGAACGAAAAAATTCTCGGGATCCGGAATACGGATTCCGAACTCCGGACATCTATGCAATAAATCATACTTGTGGAAAAGATGGCCGGCCCGCGGGCCGGGCCGGGCCGGGCTGAGATTTTTCTGAAAGCGGGCCGGCTTGCGGTCCGGCTGGACCCGTTTTGAAGCAAGCGTGCCGGCCCGGCCCGGCCATCTACATGTATGCAATAAATAGTATAATTTTCATCTAATGTGTTTTCCAGGTCATTTTAACAACTAACTTTTATAAGTTGAGTTTTCTAGGCCACAATGGTAAACGGCCTAGAAATCACACCGGGATAATGATAGAACATTCCTAGGTCATAACTTTAGTGGCCTAGAAAATTCAATTTGCAACAGTTAGGCCATCATAAAGTTAGGCCGGTGTCGTGTCGACTCGTCTCGACATTTGTCGACTTTTGTCGACAGGAATCGACAAAAGTCGACTCTGTGTCGACTCGTGTCGACACGATTTATCAGTTATTTTTTCTTTTAATCGACACGAGTCTCTGTCGACACGTTACTCTAGTGAATAACCCCATATCTCAATTTTCACGGTGAATTTTCTAAAGTAAATGCTCTCTAACGCGAATACTGTAGTTAAGCGCGCTGAGTATCGACGCGCATGCTGAAAAATGAATTACTGAGTCGCTACACAGCGAAATTGCGACCAAAAATGAATAAAGCTCACGGTGTGTCAGGAAGCCTGGCCGGAAAACGCGCCCCGGCGAACTCGTAGAAATTTTATAATTTTGATGTGGACGCAGATTTGATTTATTTATTATCAATAGATCAAATCAATACGCGCTTTTTTTCGCTCATCGTTCAAAACTTTGATCCTCAGCCAGCGAGACTCGGCAGCGAATTCAGCGAGATTTTGGGGTTCGCTGGGGCGCGTTTTTCGACCAGGCTTCCTGACACAGCGTGAGAGCGCGAAAAATTTATTTTGAAAAACGTTCCGGAAATTTCACCGTGATTTTCGTGCGTTTTGAAAATTAAAAATCGACTAAAATCAGTGAAAAAGGAAAAATAAATCCAATTATGAAATATTTCTTGTTTACGAAACCTGAGAAACGAGCGGTAAAGAACTACTTATATACATAGTGGAGAAAATATGTAGATTCATATAGAAACAAAGTAAAAATTCAAAAAATTGACGAAATCTCGAAAAATCGGTTCTAGGACATGTCTGGAAACTCCTGAAATGTTATCGAACTTTTTTCTTTGAATTTCCGCCAAAACTGAAAACTCAAAAAAAAATTAGCGATTTTTATGAGATGTCTGCAAAATTTTTAGTAGAAAGCTGATACCCTTTTGTAGTTTTTTTTTTCGCAAACACGATCACTTTGTCTGCATTTTGACGTGATCGTGTTTGCAAAAAAAAAATACAAAACGTATGGTTTCCTACAGTATTCTACAGTAATCTTCTCGAACACCATCCTGTCAAAGTTCAGACAAAAAATGCAGAAAAATCAAAAAAGAATTATCAAAAATAGCTGAAAAACCTAAAATTTTTAAAAATGTTTTTAAAAACCGAAGAAAAAAACGATTTTTTTCTCGAAATTTTGTTTGATGGGGAAATCAGGGCTTTAATACGAATGGTAAAGACCTTCAGATACGGGGTACCGCGGGAAACTTATGTTATTTTTTACCTACTGAAATTTGACGCCCAGATGTTCAGTTTCAGGGTCTGTTTGGGTTATGGTATCTTTTCCACAGCTCCGGTTTGTTGTACGAAAATAATAGTTAGTTTCGAGAATTTTCAAATTTCATGAAGCTTCATATTTTCAGGTGCGTCTCGAACATTCTACATGACTGCTGCATTTCTTCCCTGCTTCATTATTGGATCCACAATCTTTGCAGTAGACATCAACACGAATTCCCCATCAAATCGTTTTGATTTCGTGCAAAAATTAGTGACAGATGCAGAGGAACTCGGATCCCTCATCGTGCTTCCATCACTTGCTTTGACAGTTGTCATAGCGTTTCTAGCTCGCGTACAACAGTTGAGACTGATTCGGATATATCAAAACAAAAAGGATACGGAATCATTCATGGCTATACAATCAAAACTTTTGGTCACTCAACACAAGGCATTGTTCCGAAGAGACGAGACCGCCGGATTCTATTTTGCTGACGATCAAACCGACGGCGCCCGAGTAGCTCTTCATTTCCTTTTTGGCAATATTCAGATTGGGAATCGAAAGTTCATGATCATGGATGACATGTTTAAAGCGAATAACTATAGATCTTATATGTTAAATGAAACGAGTGTCCCTCCGAGGTTATAGGAATAAAAATTTATTAGGTTCTTTGTTTTTATATAGACAAAACATCCAAAGCATAGAATGTATTAGCGACAGTACACTGCAGGACTGTTCAATCAACATAATCAATTGTTTATTTTTTGAACATTTCAGCAGAAAAAGGAAATGCAGACATCAAAATACATTGTGTGTGAGACGCAAGAATAAATAGAGATCAACATGGAATTAGGTTTTTTGTTTTGCCGTTTGGGTTGGAAATGGTAAATCAGCCTTCTCTCAGTTTGATTTTCAGTTCGTTGCCCGTATTATAGAAACGAGAAGAAGAAGAAGAGATTTCAGAAGAGTTGGCACTGTTTTCAAATAAATTAAAAGGAATTATGCAGATGGTGGTAAAGAAGAGATCATGGAGGTTATTGAAGAAGGCAGTCGAAGCATTCGCACTGTGTCGCTGATGGTATTCGAAGTTTCCGGGTTCCTTCGGAGCATTTTAGTTCCGTTTCGAGCTGAAAAATCAAGAAAATGGTAGAAATCTTGTTGCTAAATTTCAGTTCTCATGGTGTTTTTTTTCGGAACGGGTTTCAAAGATAATTTTTCCCGCACTTTTTTCCGATGAAATGTTACAGCTTCCGCTGCGAGAACAGCGTTCGATTGCGGTATTTGAAAGACAGGAATCAAGATAAACTGGCTCAAAATTAATAGGGCCCTTCTATTACAGGTTTTACGGTATTCGCGTCGAGAGCATTTATTTAACGTCCTAGAAAATTCTTACCATTTCCCACTCGACCATCCTACAACATTTTGCATGAACCGAATACTTTTTCGTTAAAGGATTCGGAAATGTAAATGAGAAACAAGTACCACTGCATCGGTTGATTCGAATTATCAATAAATCACATCCTTCCTCATCTATCAATTCTTCAGAACCTATTAAAAAATTGGAGTTCAATTTCATATTTTCTAAGTCATCTCCACTCACCAACTTTTTTACAACTATTATTCTTTGTGACGCCTGCTGAGCAGTACTGTAGTAAGCAGGAAATGACAACAAAGAAACTGAACAACGAGAGAAAACGCCGCCGTGCTCGTGCTTTGGAGCCCATCATTTGAGGAGGTTTAGGCTGAAATCTGGTGAGTTGAAGAACATGATTTTTAACGACAACTGAAGAAAGGTATTTTCAGACGACATTAATAAAGATCTATTCCATGATTGGTAACGTCAGTTGATAAGGTTCTTTGCACTGGTTCCGTGAAACAGATTATAGTTTTTTTCTGGACAGAACCGGACAAGGAGATTAGAAGAGAAAAGTGAGGTCTTCTGGGATGATGAGTACTATAGTTTTTGTTTTGAGTCAACAAAACAAAGATGATACTTGGGAATTTTAAACGAAAATAAGGAAAGAGGACAAGAAAAACAAATGGGATATGAAGGGAGTGAAAAAGCTATCGAGTTACGAAACAGAGAAAAAGAAGGAAGATGAATTTGTAGGTAGATATTGGGTGAAGTGGACTATTTCTATGTTTTTTGGCTTTACTTATTGCACTTTGAAAGCTGTAATAGAAGGGCACTCGCAACTTTTATATTCGAGCGAATAAATCTGAGTTCCTGTAGAAGATATCAAAAATTGGTGAACTAATAAAATTTTGGTGATATTATGATAAACATTTTAATAGTTGTCAAGTATTTGGTATCTCTAACAGGTAACCAGATATAGGGGCTCAAAGTTGAAAGTTTCGTCGGCACTGTATTAGAGTGATTACGGTATTTTTCAATTCTTTGAACCGATATCGATGTCTCTGGTTGTATTACGAATGAGAGAATAGAGTAAGCTACTCGAATAATAAAAAATATAACTGTTCAGAAACCTTACAATAAGGTGTCTGAAAAATGGCTTTCTGAACGTCCGTGATTTTTCAAACAAGTCTGAGGTGCAATCAACCCAGACCTTTCCAATAATAATTTAATAGAAATTTTCAGACTGTTAGAAAAGAAATTTTCAGGCTCCAAAATATGGTTTCCAACTTTTTAAAAATCCATTCTCTGAAGGAAACTTCCATTTTTTCCCCTACTTGAACTTTCAGAAGCATACTGTAAATGCTAATGCCAAAATAATACTTGAATTTTGAGTTCAATTATCTTGCTTCCTGTGACAGATATCAAAAAGAAGTCAACTGGCAAAACATTTTATCAGTTGACCAGTTTTCGATATCTGTTGAAAGAACCGAGATATTTGAGCTCAAAGTGCATATATAGGGCGTGCTTCTATTAGAGCACTTACAGGAATTCATTGAACTCTATGCTATGTACCTTATTACAGCCAGAAACAACGATATTCGTTGATTTCAAAAATGCTCAGAAAAAGAAAATATATTTGAAATCTTTAAAACCATTCCGACAACATTTTCACATTCCTCGAAGCTTGCGAGAAATAGGAGGACCGGTCCCTCCCAAAAAAATTAGCACACGGCTTCTGATTTCTGAGGCTTTTAAAGATTGGGAACAATGGAACATGAGACATTAAAAACTGATGATTCAAAAGACGAAAAAGCGATGGGTTAACTCTAGATGGCATGCCAACTGAAAAGCACCCAGTTCTCACATTTCGACAAAAAGAGAAATGACCTCGTTTTGGGATAAAGAATCGGTGGGTTTCGAATTTCAGTGAAAAACATTCATATTCAATATGATATGCCCACATATATCCCACAGTAAACGATCCGTTCATCTTCCTTTTTTGGGATAAAGGAGAGGGCGAAAGAGAGCACAAACACAAACACGTATACGTATTCTTTTACGTCAGAAATGGGTGAAGAATAAGCAGAAGAAGGAGAAGAAGAAGGACCAACGGAAAATCGAGAATAAGTAGTGGAAGAATCGGAAAGAAAGAAAACAGAAGGAGCGAAACGATATGATGAGATTGGAAGACGAGGACGCCCACCACTCGAGTCGTTGTTTGAAATGGTGCTTAACAGAATGCGTCGTTTCTCGAAATGGATGAGGATGGCGTGAGAGACAAATCCCAGAAAAAGAAAGAAGATGTTTCAAGAATAGACGGATGACCGGAAGAAGTGCACTATGACGTGGAACTCAATTAGAAACTGTAAAGATCAATAATTCTATGAAGGATGTGGAACAGTAACTGAACCATATACCGTAAAGTCTGTAATCAATTATCTAAGTTCCTATCCCAGACATAAAAAATGTGCCCACCGACAGAACATTTCTGATATTATGAAAAACAATTGATCAGTTGACAAGTTTTTTATATCGTTGACAGAGACCTAGATAAATTGGTTAAAAGTCAAAAGTTAGGGGGTCCGTCTATTACAGGTTTTACGGTAAACGTTTATTGATAAGAATACAATAACTCTTAAGGTTACAAAAACCATCTTGCACAAAATCATCTCCAGAACTCTTATATGACGTCTACTCTTCCCTATTTACTCTTGAAATTCAAGCTCAAGGATTGATCTTATGATAAACAGGAACATTGATAAAATCGGACTAATAAAGAATAAGTTTACTTTTAAAAAAGGAACCATGACTCAGAAATGACGTAGTCATCGGACGATTCCTGTTTCAGAATTCCTTACGCATCAGTGTGTCCTTTTAAGCTACAAGTGGGGGTGGTCTAGGAGTGGGAAAATGGATGGGGTGTGGTTGTTCAAAAATGTATTTTTAAATTCAACACTTCTTTTCATAACTTGCAAGGGGCCGAGGTAGGCCTTTTTTCCGAATATTCTCGGGCCAGGTTTTCAGTAATTATTCTTTTTGTTTTAAAACTTTCGAGGTTCTTTAAAAAATTTGCAAAGAACGGAGTGTGTTAAAAGTATGATTTTCACATAAAACATTTGAAAATTTTGTGAAATTTCTGATTTTTTTTTCTAAGTCTGACAAACGCGGGTCCACCGGGCCAAACCCTAAAAATCTCCCGCCGTTTTTTTTTCTATAACCATTGAGCAGTTGTTACACAAATGACCTGGTTTTTTCTCAATCTTTCAACACACATCATATTCGAAACTGATGACTATTAAAAACTGTAGGGGCGTCTCCATTGATAATGCTTATTTGACTTGATCTTTTTTTTCTCAAAGTTAGGTCAATAGTTAGTAAAGACTTCATAGAAAGGATTAGGGGAACATTTAGAGAAACATGGAAAACTTTCAAGAATCCGAAATTTGGTCGTTGAACTAGAATGAATAATTCCAAAATGGGAAAACACTCGAAGTTATTTAGATGAGCTGCAAAAGACAGTAAAAGAAAAAGGATCACAAAAATAAAAAAAAGAGGAAAAGAGGAAAAGAATTCTGTCGTGGAAATGACCAAAAGAATATAATAAACAATTAACGGTGTGCAGAAGTATACTCACGATTTGATAGTACTCATTTAGATGATGATGCTGAAAATGGAAAAAGGAGAAAAAGGAGGAGAGTGTCTAAAAATAGCGACAACCGGTGGCCGCTTTACTCTTTGTCTTTCCACCCTTTCTCTCTCTTTAATTTCCTTTCTTTCCCCATTTTCATCTTTCTCTTATTCTATATCACTTATCAGTTTCAGAAAAAGACTCAACACACTGCTCTTTTTATCAAATTTCGAGTTTCGCGGGGTTTCAAGAAAAAGGCACGATCTGTTCGAAATCAAATTGAGTATGAAAAATACGTCATCACATTTTTTGAATTGTTTGACTTTTCTACGGTTGCAGGTCAAAGTTGATTAGTGATAGGCACTGAGTGATACGGTAGTAGTCAATTTTCCAGCAAGAATAAGGGAAATTCAAACGATCAATCAACCACTATAAAGTTTCATGTCACTCGTGATTTATACCATTTCTACCTGGAGGAAAAGTAAAAGAGAACTGAAAGAGACTAGTTTATAGCCTTATGGGAAACTTTGAAGTGAAATGGGAATGAAAAAAATAGTAATAGTTGGTCTCCAGAAGATTTTTTACGGCATTTCAGAAAACCATCTTTGTGTAATATTACTGTGATATTGTTTTTTTTCAGTTTTTTAGGAGAATTGGAATTCTTGGTACATTTTCCTGTAGACGGCATGGTACAATTGTTTTCTCCCCCGTCCTCAAGGAGCAAATCAAGCTTCTTGAAGGCGTCCAAAAGTCATTCCTGTTCCGATGTTACAAGAAGTTCAACTATCCCTATATATCCTACTTTGATTGTCCCTGTGATCACAATTTCACAGGTGGATCGCGAGGAACGATATATGGGATCGCGCGGTGTTGTATATGCTCGAAATACGAAACATATGTGGGCGCATTGTGCGAGCATATAGGATCCATGCGCCGACCAAAGCATATAGGATCCACGCCGCCGCGCAGCAGTTCCTCCCCTTCCCAGGTCCTAATAGCCTCTGTAAACTGAAAATAGAGTTCACCAATACAAATTTATTGAAAATTGATAAAAATGACAAAAAAATAAGAGAAAAAAAAAACATAAAAAGAAAAGAAAAAGCGAAAAAATTAAACATTTTGCCTCCTGGCTCGCTGAACTCCACCTTTTCGTTGCCTTTCTCCCTCTTTGCGTCCATTAGACGACCATCCAATCGAGAAGTTGATCTTGGTTGTTTTTTTTCTGAAAAACTGAATAGACTTAGAACATTTTCGATAATTTTACTTACTCACACCGAAAATTTGTTAAGTCTAGTACTTAGAAAACGAATCTGCTTGTGCAAATCCTATAAATTTATGGAGAGCGCTGAATTTCGTGTGAAGCGGTATCTCTAGCAGATTTTGGCATGTTTTTCATCATAATGTTTCAAAAGCTCCGAAAGACTGAAGTCATAGCCATAAGAGTAGAACGTCCATTACAACTTCAGTCAAAAAAATTAGCAGGTTTTTATTTTTCTAAACATTTTCGAGCATTTCAACCACAAAATTCACCAACCTTTTCGTTTTTTCTGTCGGTGCTTCTTCTTTCACTTGTCGTGTGGCCAGTGCAGAAGGTGAAGGTTTCAGCCGTCACCGAATCCCGAACTCCGATTCTAAAAATAATGTTTTCCAAAAGGCAACATATGTCTTGGTAAACTATGATTTTAACCGGTTTTTTCGATAGTCAAACAGTCATACATACAATTTGTTGAGAACCAAAAATTTTATCCTGAGAATATCAAGAAGAGAGTTTCGAGCTATTCTTTCTGCAAAAAACAATTACATGTTCTGTATTACATTGTATTCTGTATTGTATTCTGTATTACTGTCCTGTTCTGTAAATAAATGTTCTAACAGTTTTCCATGAACACATTAATAGAATGGCCCACTTCTTCCCTTTTAACTTTCAACTTTGAGCTAGTTTATCTGGGTTCCCGTGAAATATATTGAAAAGTTGTTAACTGACAAAATGCTTTTGATATCATAATACACATTTTGTCAGTTGACCACTTTCTGATATCTTTTATAAGAAACCAGATATATAGGCTCAAAGCTAACGGTTCGGAGAGACATTGTATAAGAGTGTTTACGGAATATGGATCCAATATGCGAGCACGGACGGGGCATATGCTTTCCCTGTTAACTGAACGCCCACCACCACCGACCAGCAACCACCAACCCATATAGCGGGCATAACGAACGCTATATGCGCACATTCACAGTATGGGCCATAATGCGCCCATATAGTGTTCTGCGCGATTCACCTGTGTTAGAATCCTTAGAGTACCGTCGACTTCTATCCGATCTAGTTTTTATGTATAAAACTCTAGTTTCCCGGGAAATTGCAATTGCCCATAATCTATTCATTGTCCCGTTTCATCATAATCATCTAAGACGCCACCCATATTACATTCGCTGTACATTAAAAAATGCTTCAAAACTTTCTGCTCAATTTCTTACTCTCCGTATTATATCCTGCTGGAACTCGCTTCCAAAAACCGTGTTCCCACCCTTGATTTCATCCATCTCTTTTAAAACAAATTTAAGTCATGTTAATTTATCTTCTTTCCTGTTCCTAGACGAACATAATTCCTAACTCATTTGTTTAATTTGTAACACATTGATTTTGTGACTGATAGTCCTGAATCAAATAAATTATTATTACGGCTGCAACAAGAAGCAAACATTAAAAGAAACACTGAAGGAAACTGAGCAATAACTCACATTAGAGAAAAAATTTTAAAATTTTAAAAATTCGGAAATTCAATAATTCATATATACGGAAATTCCAAAAATTCAATTTCAACAATTCATAAGCTTCGACATTAAAAAATTCGAAAATATAGAATGTCAAAATTCAGAAATTCGGATAATCAGAAATTCAGAAATTTTGAAATTCACACTGTCGAGTCTGAGCCCACGCTGTCAAGTTTGAGCTGATTTTACTCAGCTTCTATCCAAGATATCACAAATGTGCCAACTGATAAAATATTTGTGATATTATGATCTCAAATTTATCAGTTGATAACTTTCTGATATCTTTGACAGGAACCGAGATAGATTGGGTCAAAATTCAAAGTTAGGTGGGCTTCAAAAAGTGTATTTTAGAGTTCTAGAGTTCTCAGTAGAACGGTGAGCTCTGCGAAACGGAGATAAAGCCTGCTGCTATCAGATTCTCAAAAATATATATATCATTTTTTCTCTCACTCTCCATGATTCTTATTTTAGTTATAGAAATTACTACTTTTATGTCACCATGTTCTTTTTTTCACCTATTTTTACGTAACAAATCAAATTCAATCAGTTATGGTTAGGTTACGTCAATTTTAAGGTCTGAGAACTTCTGTTCGAATATCCAAATTTCAACGTGAACGTTTGTAGACCACATAGATATTTTTGGAGCTACGTTGTTTGTGTTGGCTGCTCTGATCACAGCAAAAAAAATTAGCTGCCTAGTTGACTCTCTTTATTATCTCCCGATTTCATTACGAGCAAATCACAACACTAAATAAGCTCATAAAATATGTCAAACGATACAAATATAGTGGCAAATCGGTGAGAAAAAATTGAGACTTTCAAATTTCTGAATTTCGAACTACTTTTATATTTGTGCATTGTTTTTCGAGAGTGCAAATTTCCGAAGAAACGAACTAGTTTTCATAAAAAACGCCTACATTGAAAACTGGCAAAGTATCAAAACATCAAACAATTTTTTTGAGATGTATTTTTTCTTTATGTTTCTGGGAATACACTTTCATAATAACTTCTTGTGTTTCTGCTTACCTAGATTGGAAAACATTTTAATAGTGAAAAAACTGAATTTTCTGAAAAACAAAGAGAAACACCGGTGGCCTTGATTGGCCGAAGGTCCCACAACGGTGACGACAGTAACCTAGAAGTATTTGTATTTTCAAGATTTGTTTTCTTGATTTTCACTGCTTTTCATTGAATTTTCTGTTATTTTTCTCCGAACAAGTCGAAAAATAAAAACCTTCGATAGTGAAAAAATTGACTGAAAATTCACGGAAATCAAGAAAACAATCAGGAAAGTTTTTAAGGTTACTGTAGTTGTCGTTGTGGGACCTAGACTGCTGCCACTTTTTGTGTCAGAATGAGACTTACTTTATTTTTTAAAACTCTAAAAACTTTTCAAACAATTTTCCTTCCAGCCCCCAATGTGATTTTAACTGGTGTGGTGATTTCGGAACATGTATTGTGTTGAATCCGGGTGAAACAACCGAATGGTACGAATGCATCTGTGGTCTGTGGCAGTCCGGACAAGACTGTCAGCTCGAAGTTCCACTTCCAGTGGTTGTTACTCTCACGTGCACGGTTCTCGTCTCGTTTGTTCTCTATTTCTGCTGGTACTCTTCACACAGATTCAAGTGAGTTTGTGACCGTTTTAAATAATAATTGAATATCATATTTTTTTTAAGTAAGAAAAAGATCCATCAACCGAAAGCTCGTTATCGATTTGCTGATTATCTTCAAAAACATCAGAAATTTGAAAAGCTTTGGTTGAAATCCAAACTGGAAGAAGATAATAAGAAAACTGGAAAAACGAGAAATATTCCATACGAAGAAGAAACCGATCAGGAACATGAGAAGCAAAAGAAGGAAAAGAAAGAAGAAGAAGAGAAAAATGAAGAAGTTGTGAAACCACAGAAACCTGTACAGAAAAGTGAAAAGACAAAAAGAACAGAAGAACTGTCAATAGTACAGGAAGAAAAGAAACTTGGTGTTTTCAAAGATCCACAAGAGAACAAAGTCATCGAATCGAGCACAAAGTCAACGAAGCAGGTAGAGGAATACAAGGTGGATGATGCACCAGCTCCATCTACAAGAAGTGATTTATCCAGTTCGGCCTCAGGAGGAATGTCAGGAGGAATGCCCGAATTGCCGGCCGATGCTCCAGATGACTGCAAAAAGCATCATGAAAAAGAGAAGTTGAGAGAGAAGCAAAATGAAGCGGAAGCTGAAAGAAAGTCTATTGATCGCAACAAGCCAAAGAAAAGCTCCAAGAAAGGAAAGAAGAAGAAATAAGTTTCTATGCTTTTTGTTGTTTTCTGCCTTCTGGTGTAAATTACTTTTGTTAAATAAATGCTTGCATCGTACTCTCTGAATCATAGAAACCTTGTTGATTTAAAACGCTTCATATACCAGGTATGCGGGTTGATCATCCATCTTCTCATTGTATTAGGGGTTTGCAAAAGTAATGCGCGTCATGTTTGGTGTTTTGTATCTCACCCAAAACAAACGGTTTGTGTTCAATTTTTTTGTTTTAAAAAGGTTGTTTCACCCGGATTCAACACAATACATGTTCCGAAATCACCACACCAGTTAAAATCACATTGGGGGCTGGAAGGAAAATTGTTTGAAAAGTTTTTAGAGTTTTAAAAAATAAAGTAAGTCTCATTCTGACACAAAAAGTGGCAGCAGTCTAGGTCCCACGACGACAACTACAGTAACCAAAAAAACTTTCCTGATTGTTTTCTTGATTTCCGTGAATTTTCAGTCAATTTTTTCACTATCGAAGGTTTTTATTTTTCGACTTGTTCGGAGAAAAATAACAGAAAATTCAATGAAAAGCAGGACCAAAGTTTGAGCAAATTCTCAACCATTGTCTGAAAACACTTCCCTTGTTAGGATTTTTTTGAATAAATAGCGACTTTAAGAACAAGGAGGAGCAAAAAACTTAAATAGGTAAGACGACAGGAAGCAGTTTTTGGTTTAACTAATTTCGCATATATCGTATTTTTTTCTTGTCGAAGAAATTACCCATAAAAAGCCGGATAGTTATCCGACTCCGATGACCGTAAAAACTCTAATATGACACCACCTGTAGCAGAATGTCTTTCTCATACAAGATTCCCAGCGTGCCAGGCAAATCAAAAATAGAAACTCCCACCATGTACTTATTTTCCTACCCTGATAATCAAGCAAAAACCCAATTTTCGTTAATTTGCAGCACACCAAACTACCCCTCCGAAACAGAACGCCATGACGTTATATTGCAGTTTTTACGGTTAGCTTGCCTACTCTACAGAATTTTATGATTTGGAATATATTTTCAGTTTCTACTGAACCATCGATGAAATTGGATATCGGACTGATGTTATTGATTTATATGTTAATTCGATTCGAGATGTAAATTTCTACGATGAAATGTCTAAGAAAATTGAAGATGACAGCGAAAATCTCGATGAAAATACGACAAACTTCCAAATGTATATTTTTTCAATTGTACTTTTTTGTATTGTCATTTCATTCAATAAATGCTCATTTTAAATGTGTTATTTTTTAATGCGAGTAAAGAGAAAGGAAGGGAGCGAACGCTCGCGCGGCAACCGCTTTGGCACCTTTCTGCAGCATTTCTGGCAACTTTCTGGAAATGTTTTTTAGAAGGACGCAGAAATGCCGCAGAAAATTGCTAGAACAGCTGCAGAAAGTTGCCGAGAAACCCCGAGTAAAGATGAAATGTTTCTTGTCCGAAGTTTGTCGTATTTTCATCGAGTTCTATGTTTCGGAGGGGTAGTTTGGTGTGCTGCAAATTAACGAAAATTGGGTTTTTGCTTGATTATCAGGGTAGGAAAATAAGTACATGGTGAGAGTTTTCATTTTTGATTTGCCTGGCACGCTGGGAATCTTGTATGAGAAAGACATTCTGCTACAGGTGGTGTCATATTAGAGTTTTTACGGTCATCGGAGTCGGATAACTATCCGGCTTTTTATGGGTAATTTCTTCGACAAGAAAAAAAATTCGATATGTGCGAAATTAGTTAAACCAAAAACTGCTTCGTGTCGTCTTACCTATTTAAGTTTTTTGCTCCTCCTTGTTCTTAAAGTCGCTATTTATTCAAAAAAAAAAATCCTAACAAGGGAAGTGTTTTCAGACAATGGTTGAGAATTTGCTCAAACTTTGATCTTTGGTACTTTTGGACACGCTGATTACAGTGCTGTTTTTATTTTTTGCCCCTTGCCCCTCACAAAAAAGTTATAGGCTCTTAAAGTGATTTCAGTACTAATTTCTCACTTTTGGAGCGACTAATTGAAGGGATTAATAACAGTTTTTCGGAATTTTTCAAATGTGATTCGTCTTTTTAGATGTTTCTCTACAATCTGGGAAAGTTTCCTAATTTTTCAAAAAAAATTTTTTTGAAAAAAAGTTGCCATGAGGTACCCCCTATGGTAATTTTTACAATTTTTCGAAAAAAATTATAAATGAGGTAACATAATTTTTAAGCGCACAAAAACGATAAAATAAGTTTTTTTACAAGATTTGGTAGCCTAAATACTTCTTGAAATCACAAATAAGAGATTTGTTTCAAAACTTCAATGAATCGTAGCCCTTTGATCACCCAGTAGCACACAAATCTTGTGATAACACACATTTATATAACTTCCGATTAGTTTATTACTCTTCCGTATTCAAAATGAGCAAATCTGGGTGGTTTTGTCTGAATTTTTGATTAGGGAGACTATCGAGCAGTGCTCCAAAAACATTTGAAGTACTATTTCTTGGGTATTTTCGGACAAAAGTCAAAAAAAATGTTTTTTTTTCAAAATGATTAAAAATCTGAATGGAAATTTTTTCTAAAGGTTTTGACACACTTTGAGATTTCCAGCAAGATCAGAAAAAAAAGCAGAAAACAAATCGGGAATTTTTCAAGAAATTCTCAACCACTGTCTGAGAACACTTCCACTGTAAGCGGCTCGCTTCAATTAAGTCCCAAGCACATTTTTGTCCAAATATTCCGCAAGAATCAAAAATGCAGATTGAAAAATTGTGTTTTAATAGCTTCATCATCGTAATTTCTTAGAAATTCTGTGGATTCTCCATAAGAAAACCAATCTGAAAAAATTTGATGATTGAAAATAACTGTAAGAACTTCAACTACCTGTTTTTTGTCTTCTTGGAATATGTCGACTATTTATATGATATTCACATTCAAATGTTCTCATCAAATTCATTCTTTTTTAAAGCATCAAGTATTCCATAAACTTTTGAAGTTTTGAAATTTTTTTGTTGGGTCAACATTTTTCGATCTCCTTTAGAATCTGCCGAAAAATCAAAAAAATTCGCATACTATCGTCATCATTCCAATAATTCCATTATGTTTAAGTTCGTTTTTTTCTGAAATATTTGTCTGAAATATTGGTATTAATTCTTACATAAAAGTCACTGTCGAAACTGTGTCGCCGATGACTCGTTTCTTTCAACTCTCATCGTCACCGTTGATTCCTATTTCTCCAATCCACTTCGATTGAAGCTTCGATTATACTATAAAAAGTTCATAGAAATTTTGATACAATTACAAAAAACAACAAAAAGATTTTAGTAACAAATTTGAGAATCGAATTGGCATAAATTATCAGTTGAAAACCAACCGGCAGTCAGCAAAAAAGAAAACATCGCACGCTTCGCGAGCATGCGACGCGCTTAAACAGCTCCAGAACAGCTCCAGAAAGTCGACAGATCTGCAGACTGCTCCAGAAAGTTGCCGAGAAACCCCAAGTAAGCAATCATAACAATACCTAGACTTGAGGAATCGCTTTGAAATTTTCAGTAGCTTTGAATCAAACATAAAAATATATATCTACCAATTTTGGTGTTTCCAAGATACTTATGTCTAATGATATACCCGTTTTTATCATTCCGGGTAATTGTGTGTCACCCTTTCAATATTATCCCAACTTAAACCCTTTCAACATCATCCCAAACTTCTGTTTCCTCCTCCAAATTCTGGAGACAATCATAAAATGCGCGAAGAAGGCGAAGAGTAGTAGAATGAAGTAGGAACAACGGATGCTTGATGTCGTGTCAGACTGCTCTATTATGCAACTAATGACCGACTGACTCATATGAGTCCCCCACCATGTCATCTGCTTCTCATTGTTGGTGTCCCTCCAACTCCGAAGCAGTTCTATTTCAGGAAATTAACAAATTGCGAAGTCTCATTTCTTCGTTCCCGTTCCCTTATCAATTTCCTGTGTTTCCTTTCCTCACCTATCCTCCCACCCCAGTATAATATGTTTGTTGATCCGATAATCCGTCGCAGTCCTTCATGTGTACATGAAGCGTGCCGGCACATTCTAAGACTTTGTATTTACTGTATTTGTATGTGTCACCGGACAACGGTTACTAATAATCCGATTAGGATAATATAAAGACTGTTGAAGAAGGCCCGGCGGCCGACTGTCATATAGTCCGGATCGATCTTGAGTGGGTTTAGGAAATAGTATCCTCAATCAAAAAACCCCCTAAAACATCTGCTCTGGAATGAATTTTCTCTCGAGATTGATGAGTGCGGGAAAATTTGATAGGGATTTTTTCTGTTTCGAAATCGGTCTAAAATCATGCATCATATCCCCAAAAATACTGTAACTGGCGCATTAAGAAGACAAGTTGTTTGTCCTTAATTCATTCTCCCTACCTAAACAATTGTCCAACTCCCTTAATCTACTCTTCCCCTTTTTCTTCTCGGTCTTCTTCACTTTTCACGGCTCCATAAACACGACACAATGTTTTGATTGATTTTGCCACGTTGCCGTGAACCTTCCTCGCCGACTGACTGAGCATCTACAATGGAAACGAGTGTTCGGGAAGGCTGTCGGTGTCCTTTTCCCGTTGCTGCCAGCTGCCTCCCGTCTCCTTTTGGCGTCACGGAGCAACAATTTATGAGCTCAATACTAGTCTTCTCAATGTCATCTTTAGAGGATGAGGATGGGAAGTGAAAGATGTTAATTATCGTCACCTGACCTTTTTCTAAAAGAACATCAAATCTCTCCGAGAAGATGTTTTGAAAAAGAGGAGGGAGAGGGATAATGGCGGTGTGGCTTTTGAAGAAACCGGAGGTGACCTCAGAGATTTATAGTCTCTGAGCAACAGGTGCTTATCGAGTAAAGGATGCGTCGTACGAATCACTGCACACTCTCATGCTATTCTTATTTGTGGCTTTTTGACACGGGCTATGACAGTAAAGAGATTAGGATTAGATGAACCTGTTACCATTCATTTTGATGTCAAAGGACTGGTCAGAGGA